TGTACTCGTTGACCGGTTTTTGTGCTCTGTCAGCCGCTGTTTCCGATCCTACCTCCAGTTTTCCTTTTTTGACACCGGGTAAAAGTGGTTGGGGGAGGGAGGACAGAGTGCGGGAGATGCTGCACAAGCCTACCATCAATATAAAAAAATTCAATGTGAACCTTTATACCTTCACCTAGGCCTTGAGCACACCAATCTTGAATGGATAGAAGTATAGACAAGAGATGTTTTCCAGATATGAGGTAAGAGGCATATATGCAGGGGCAGGAGCGTAGTCCTTGAAATGTGCCGGTAGACCGGCAGTCGCCAATTTCTCCAGGCGGGGAAGGAGATAGATTTAGTACCAAACAGCAGGACTCACGTGGTAGCCCACCGTGGTCCAGCCCTCCATGGTGACACAGGTGAAGACGGTGAGCATGGCGTAGAGGAAGTTGTCAAAATTGACTAGGCCATCTGTTGGTCCGGCATAGCGCTCACCCAATTCCTCGGGCAGGTCACGACATATGTAGCCGGGTCCCAGTTCGGAGCAGTTGAAGCCCATGGAGGAGGTACTGTTGCTGCAGGGTCGCGGATTGGCCATCATTACGTCTGCATAGACGGCCGAGAAAAAAAAGAGTATATATAAAGTATCCACAACGCAAATACTGGAAGCACTTTAATCTACATGTGCTTAAAAACTTGGCTGTGAAAAGAATGGCATTAATGAAGGTCCGGATGAGTCTTTGTCTTCACAGAGTAAGGAGTTGTCTCGAATATATTATTGGTGGCAGAGTTAAGTAATTTGAGATGAAGTAAATTAGATCGCTGGGGAAAAAAGCTTTATACACCTGCCGTTTTGGATTCATGCCTGAACTCATAATCAGGGAAAGAACTAGATACGAATACCTAATTCACATGGGGTTACAGAATTTATAGAATGCGGCTAGTGTTTTATTGCATAATCAGGAAAAACAACGGCTTGGTACTTCATCGCAACTGGTCTCCCTTGGTATAACAATCGTTTGACGACCGGAATTCAGGTCGCTAATCGGTGAACTACCATCACTCTTGTCGGATGTGGGTTTGATTATCGCTCGACCCCCTGGCACTGTCTGCGCGTTTCTACTACCCAAGCTGTGACAGTCAATACCGTTGAACTACCCTTACAAAGCAAGCAGGATGAAGTGGAAAATCATCCTGGACACACTGAATTCCTTCAGCTCCTGAAATTTTGTCTATGGACTTACTTCACGTTTGACGAAACACTCGACGAGTAGGTGCGATGAACATCGATGTGTTGGCCCATTTCGAGCTTCAAAACTGAGACAGCCCTGCAACGATTGGAGACGTTGTTTTTCCAACACCACACACTAAAACGCGGCGGCTCGGTACTTGGAAGTTACCGTCGTCCTCATCGAACAGGAGCAACTGAGGACACTCAAAGAACATTGCTAAGCCCTCTTCCCGAAAGTATGCTTTAATATGGGGGCGGAAGACAACAGACAGCCGGCCCTCGTTGATGCCTTCATTTCCCGCAAATAAAGTAGCGGAATAAAGTCCAAGGTGTCCACGAAATCGAAAAATACGACAAAACAACGCCGAGCCCATAA